ATGAACATTAATGAATGCTATAATCTTTTAACTGGTTGATAACTTTTTAAAAAACGCAAAATAATGACGAATTAGGAACGACAAGATACATCAGTTGATTCATCTGTTTGCAAGGAAACAAATCTTTCCTTATCAATCTCACGTTTTATTCTTCTATTTATACTTTATACATACAGTCTAAAACGACATTTTGGTTTGTTTTTAAAGTATTTTTTATTATTTTTAAACTTTTAAGATGATCGCTAAACACACTATCTAATGTAGCGGTGTACAAAACCATATCTTAAAATTGCCCTCGATTAATTGAGTCAAAAGTTTCGTCATGTCCTCTTTTGGGCAATTTGTGTACACCACAAAAGTTTATACAATCTATGATCCTCGATAATGTATGTCTTTTTTTGTCAACTAATTTAACATTTTTTTTTATGCTAAAGCTGTATCCAGCATCAAGTGTCGATAAAATGTTTGTTTTACCGAGCATTTGAAACTGCAACGAATTACTTATATGTATTTTACTTGAATCGTGTTTTTGTATTCGCTCAGAAAGATGTTTCATATCTTTACAGCCATATTCTGTCCACAAGCTCTCGCCACCGAGCAAAACACAATAAAAACAAAACCACGAACTTTTTTCATTACTTACACTTAACCATGACTTTTTTTCAAACCATGCTTTGCAGAATCTTAATATTTTTTACCATCAACTTGAGTTATACGCGCATTTTTCGGTTGATATGGCCTGAGACTTTTGATTTCAAGTTTTTCTTGAAAGCTCGTTGACGTGAAACGTTTTGTCAATAAATTGTCAATTGTGTTCATGTTAATATATTTTATTAATGATTGTAAATTATTGTAATAAGATAACTTTAAACTATATAGTTACTAGAATATGACTTTGCCATAATTTAAAAGCGAATTTTGTCGACAGTATTTTAGTCAAGAAGGGCTCTTAATCTTAAATTAACAATCAATAAAATAATGAAGAATGTAACTTTATACATACGTTGATTTCTCTGATAGGTTCATATAAAGTTTTCTGAGAATGGTGAAGGATCAACAACAACAAAAAATATACTTTTAAAGACATTAAAAAAATTTTTAGATTAATTCATACGCATTAAAAATTTTTTAAACATGAATCTTTTAAATAATTTTCTATAATAAAATACATACTTTACTTAAATAAATCCATTGTTTTTAAATACAACACTTCCAATGTCAGTTATATATAATAGCAAATTTGAAAAGATTATTTACACTGTCAAAATTGCTTCATTAATTTCATGTAATTAAAAGTAAAAACTTAACATCTGTTTGTTAGCATACACAATAGTACTAAAATGTTTGTATAATTTTTGTTTTTCGTCTTGAGCTTTAACTCCTCAAAAAAAGCATTGTAAAAAATCTCAATAAAATAGTTATTTGGTAATGATAAATGTCCAACATTGTGAAATTTTTTTTTAGTACATTTTTAAATTAGAGCCTTTTTTAAAGTAATAATTATTGAAGCTGTATTACGAAATTCAAAAGTACCACCAGCGGTATAGTTTTTACCTTTGATAAACAAATTTTCTCTATATCATCTGTTGTTTTAGATGTTTGTACCTTTGTTGTATTGAACTAATAATAATATTGACCAATTCTAATCTTTACTTATCCAGTTGCATTTACAGTTACTTAGTTTTTGCTGTTGTCTTGTGTTGCTTACCATCATGTTTGAAATTGGCTCTGGTTCAGTATCGATCTAGTTGGTAACTAAAAAAGTAGTATAACCTAACAACCATCAAACAATGTAAACACTTTTAAATGAATGATTCATTATGCCACAAAATATAAGGGATTAGCTAATTCGAAAAAATATACTTCAGCAATCCCTCATTGAGAATAGAACAAGAATTTTAAAAGTACAAACAGTTTTTAACTCTTATTGTATTATTAGAAATGGCTAAGCTTTCTCGTGTCACAATATATAAATTTGCCAAAAATTGCCATAGGTTTGTTCGATTAATACACAAATCAAGATCATTTATATTGCTGAGCCACTACTTTTTCCTGTAAAGAAACAAATATTTAAGTTTTGCTTAAATATTTGTTTCTTTACAGGACTTTGCTATCCCAAGATATAGTCTAAAATTGAGTTCAGACTCAATTGAGTATCGTGGGCCGTATTTATGAAATTTTATATCAGATATTATAAACAAAAAGAAAACCACTCTTGATTGATTTAAAAAATAATCTAAACGGTTGTTCTTATTTATGGATCTCACGATGCTAGATTTTAATTTTGTTTTAAATAAAGTAAAGCTTTAATAAAAAATCAAGATAACTTAAAAAAAAAGCTATTTTAAAAGAATGTTGTTATCACAACCCACAATAACAAAGTTTATTAATGATATTCCTGTCTAAACATAAGTATATGTAGATACTTTTTTTTTTATTATTATTATAATAATTATTATTATTATTATTATCTTAGTTTATTTTATTTCAAGTATATGATCTTTTTTTTTTTTGCAACTGCAGCTGTATTCTTTTTCTTTTTGCAACTGCAGATGTTGTAATCATTTTAGCAGTTTTCTAATATAATATAATATATTTTATATATCACGATAATATAAAAATGGAGCTCGGTGATAAGCCAGAATTATGTCTTCTTCTTGCTCCAGCCATTATTCAATTTGTTTGTATATATGAAAATTGTATTTACTGAAGCCCCCAGAAGCAGGCTATTTGACGTTAGGTGAGTATGACATCATTATGCTCACCTAACTCAGCAGTATAAGATACATATCTATATGTCTATGTATATCTATATATATCTATATATCTCTATCTATATATCTATATCTATATCTATATATATATATATATATATATATATATATATATATATATATATATATATATATATATATATATATATATATATATATATATCTATATATATATCTATATATATATCTATATATATATATATATATATATATATATATATATATATATATATATATATATATATATATATATATATATATATATATATATATATATGTATATATATATATATATATATATATATATATATATACATATATATATATATATATATATATATATATATATATATATATATATATATATATATATATATATATATATATATATATATATATATATATATATATATATAGATATATATATATATATATATATATATATATATATATATATATACATGTATATAATATATACATCTATATATATATATATATATATATATATATATATATATATATATATATATATATATATATATAAATGTATATAATATATACATATATATATATATATATATATATATATATATATATATATATATATATATATATATATATATATATATATATATATATATATATATAGTCTTGCATGTCTCTTGCGTAGCATCAAAAAATATTTCCCATAAACTGTAGTTTTAAAGAGCGCGTTAATAAACCAGACCAGAAAAAGTTTTCAAAATTAAATTTTTTTTTTAATTGATAGACTGCCTGGCCAAACCAAACCCTCAGTCGATGTAGCAGCACTCTCTTGCGAGTCAGGCTATTTGTCAGTCGTTGTAGCAGCATTCCCTTGCGAGTCAGGCTATTTGTCAGTCGATGTAGCAGCACTCCGTTGCGAGTCAGGCTATTTGTCAGTCGATGTAGCAGCACTCCGTTGCGAGTCAAGCTATTTGTCAGTCGATGTAGCAGCACTCCGTTGCGAGTCAGGCTATAAGATAGTCGATGTAGCAACATTTACGCATGTTTAAAAAATGTTTTTTATTAAATCAATAACAAAAACACCACTAATTAAAAAAAACTTTCTAGTCGTTATAATTGCGGTTTTTTAAAAATTTTTTAAAAAACAATTAAATTTAATGTACTTCCGCATAAATTAATTGCTTTGACATTTCGATGACAATCAAAAACAGCTTAAGAGACGAGGTAATTAAAATTGTAGTCGTAAGAGACTTTTTTTTACATTAAAATGCTCTTAAAGCGACACTATATGAGTATATATATATATATATATATATATATATATATATATATATATATATATATATATATATATATATATATATATATATATATATATATATATATATATATATATATATATATATATATATATATATATATATATATATATATATATATATATATATATATATATATATATATATATATATATATATATTTATTCAATAATATTGTTGATTAAAGGTAATTATTACTTTGTAATAGTGTTTAATTATACTCATTACAAATTTTAGGCACAAAAAATTAATTTTAGTTTTTGACTGTATTTATAATTTTATCAAAAACTATAAATACAGTTTTTGATGTTTATTTATTTTGATATAAAATATTTTTTTAAAGTCATTATTTCATATATACTAATTCTAAAAAAAATTGTAAAAAAAATCTAATTAATAATCTATTATTGTTATAATAATTAAATTAATATCTCACAATTTAATATAATTAAAACAATACTTTATGAAACCGTTAGCAATTCTTATTTTGGTTTTAACGATATTTCGAGATAAAATAAAAAATGTCGTACGCAATTAACAACTACCAAACAAAATATCTAGAAAAAATTAACCATAAACTAAATTATTGTGACCGATACTATTATGAAGAGATTTTAATTTTAGTTTACATGTTTGTTTGATCTGTTACTTTTTTTTCAAAAAGGCACACTTCTTTTAAACGTTCACACGACTTTTAAACGTTCCACACTGACCAAAGCAAAATATATTGGTTCCAGAAAGGTCAAGGACGTTAGAACAAACAAACAAAAAATAAACATATACAAAATAAACATATAAATAACATTTTACACTTAAACTTAATGATAAGATGCAGACAGAGAGGCTATTGAGATGTCTTGGTGCCTACCGGGATATAAAATGGTACTCACTGGGTATTATCAATCAAAAAAATTTTTTTTAGATCGATCTCAAGTATTCGTTAGCTCCACCACCACCACTACTCCACCACATGTTGTAAATAATAACAATATTAGAGGTAATTTATTTTTGTTATACATCGAAGTTATTCTTCAATATCATCCAATCAATCAATATATGTTTTAATAAAAGATCTTACAATGGAGATCAATTACAAATAGTTAAAAACTAATCTTAAGTAAAAACCGCGAAATAGGATTGATAATACAATTAATGATAATAATAATGATGATAGATTGAAAGTTATAAGAATAATAAGAAAATTATATGATAATAAACCAATATCAATTTTAAAACAGCAATTTTAAAACAGCAATTGAATTTAATGCACAGACAGAAATGTTACAAACAGTTTTTGTTTTTTTTCCGCCTAATATATATATATTTCGTCAATAAACAATCATTTTACAATATTTTTGTAAAAATTAAAAATGAAATCTTTATATTCTGACAGGAGCATGTAGAAGACAATGCGTCTTATTATCCTGCTTCAATGTTCGTGAAAATATCAAACAAGATTTACGTATTAAGTTCCTAAATTATACGTTGTATAAATTTTATACATATTACAAGTTTTGTACAAAGTATAACATATTACAGCTCATAAAATTATAAATAATATATATTACAGCTCATAAAGTTATAAGAGGCATATATACGTGTTAACAAATCGATATATAAATGGTTTTAAAAATACAAAAGAATGTTGTTGTTATTTAAATCTAATAAGTACCGTTTAACTGCTCTTTTAAATAGTTCAATTGAAGTCATGTTTTTCATGTCTCTATTAAGGAAATAATTCCACAAACGCGACCTTCAACATGTAACTAAGAAGTCTGTTTCTAAGGGATGTTGTAGGGATGACAATGTTGCCAATGGAGTGTCTTGTAGAGTATTTATGATTAATTAAGTTTAAATGAGGTTGAAAATATGTTGGAAGCATGTTGTTATGAATTTTAAACATAAATAACAGATTTTGATGGATGCTTAGTTTATAAATATTTACAACATTAATTTTTTTTAAGTAAAAGCTCGGTGCATGCATATCTACCTGGATTCAAAATTAACTGGCTCGTTTGCTTTTGTTTGGTATTAATTGTTTTTAAAGAAGATGAATAATTACTTGCCCAAACTATATAGCAATAACAAATGTGATTATGAATAAATGAAAAATACAAGCTTTTTAAGCACATGATTTTCAAAGGGTGCTTCGTTTTGAAAAGGATCTCAAAAGCTTGTACTGTAATGTATTGTAAGAGTTATGTACTAACAAAACGTAACAACCTACATGTAACTAAAACAGCTTCTGCGAAAAAAGGTAACAATAATTTAATAAATATAATAATCTTAATATCAATAATGATAACAAAAACAATAAAAGTAAAATAAATACTTCATTAAAAAAAAAACATTAAACAAAAAAAACAAAAACTATTTAATAAAACTCACAAATAAAAACGTGTCACATACACACCCTAACATTTAGCCATGAAAAGTAAAGAGTTTTTTAATAAATGATAACATTAAAATAAAAAGTAAATCATAGCAAATACATATCATCACTCAAAAATAATAAGATTTAAAAAAATTCTTTAACATGAATATTTAAAAAAAGCTTTATGTTAATTCTTTTTTAATTACTTTACATTTTCAAATGTTTTTTTTTCTTTTAAATTTGGTTATTTTTTCTTTCCTTTTTCTTTTCTCGTTTCTTTTTTGTTTTTGTTAATTTGTTTAATTTGTTTATAAAATTTTTTTAGTTTTTTCTTTTTTATTTCTTTGTTTTCTTCATTCACTATATTTTTATTGTATTTATTTTTCTTATTTTATTCTTTTTTCTCTATCTTTTATTTGTTTTTTCTTTTGACATGTTTCGACAAAATATATCTGTTATAGCCGAAAATGTCTTTATAATCATTATCGTAATTGTTTTAGCGTACTAATCTCCGAGCTTGCAAGAGTCAAAAGTTTTTCATTATGCCGTTTCTCCAACCTATAAGGTCTCAAACATATTCGCTTGTAAAATATAGTTTGTTCAAGTTATCTACAATGCACTCTCTTCAAGTTTTTCTGCTTTTACACGTACCTTTTTCACCTGATGTATATAAAATCTAAATTTTTCTTATAATTTAAAAAATGTAACTAAGGTAAAGCCTAAAGATTTTTATGAATATCTTAATATAGTCTATACATATCTGAAATTAATTTTAAAATAAAATTGATTAGGAATAAAAATTTTCATTTTGTTAATGCATTTTTTTCTCGAGCAATCTTAGCAGAAAAATTAGATGCACTTGCCAATGGTAAATCATAATGCACTAACTTTTTAGCCTCTGGCAAAATTTATGTCTTTGCGAACTCTCAAATTTGTGTATGCTCATTATTTTAAAGAGCTATTGCCCATTTGGGGTCAATTAGACATTCGGCACAAGGCAGTGGGTTAAAATTATGATAGTTTGGCTGCAAAAGACAAAACGACGGCGTAGATTTTATCTGCTACATCTTTTGCATCTCCAAATTGTTTAAATTTACATTCTAAATTAAGTATAGAAAGTATAACACTGGATAGTGAAAGTGCATCCGTCTGAAAAATAACAGTTATCTTGGCAAAAGGTTCTAAAAGATTGACAAAATCCTGAAACATTATTTATTCGCTATTGGCAAGTGAGTCAATGTTAAGGTCATCAAGTACTTCGTTGATAGATGTCTTTATTTCCAGGAATCTCCGAACCATAAAGTAAGTGCTGTTCCATCTTGTCCAACAGTCGCTGATCACAGTCTTACCATATTTATTAATAACTTTCTCCAATACAACAGAAGATTTGCGAACTTTTCCCACTATTCGATAAACCTTCAAAAGTAAGCCATAATATTTACCATCATATGCAAGTTTTGCAACTAGCTGTATAACATGTGCAATGCATATTCTCATGGTCTTCCGGATTTGTTATCTGCTCTTTATTAAACTCATTTTCTAATTTAATAAGTATATCACGTTCAGCTTGAGGTTTTATTGTCGACAACTTTATGCCTTTGACCGTGTTTGCTCAATTGTTCGAAATATCAAGCAATTTTTTTTCTCTGGAAATATTTAAATAAAATATTTCACCATCAAGTAAGACTAAACATACTGATTTGCCGGATGACGCATTGTAATTAAACAATTTCCATACTAAACTATTCCTTTTCCTACCAGCACAAAGTTTACTTAAACTCATCGGGTAGTTGTGTTTTTCTTTCAAAATGATTTTTTTTTAGTTTGAAAATATATTTGAACAAATATATTCAAACTGTATCATTACTAAACTTACTCGAACTTAATTGAATAAAATTTAATTAACTTCGAATAATATAATCATATCATTATAATATATCATTATAATATATCATTATAGTGTATTATAATCATATCATTGTATTATAATCATAGTATGTATTATAATCATATCACTATAATATATCATTATAATGTATTATAATATAATAATTGTATATATCAGATAATTTAACTCGTTTCAAATTTAAAACAAAAATATTTTTGTTTTAAAATAATTTTCGATTTACCAAGCAAGTGCAAAGTCAACGGTCTGAGTCATTGTTGGATTGAAAATTTATTTTATTACATCACTGTGGCATTCTAAATACATTTGAATACTTAGTAGTACTTCTGTCAAAATCAATTTGAATACATATATAGTAGTACTTATGTCAAAGTTGATCAAAATCAATGGTGGGTTGAGCTTTTTTAAAAATGTATGCAAATAGTAGTTCATTTCGCTTTTTATATGTAAAAGTTTATCAAACCACAGTACAGGAGCATGGGGTTGATAAGAAGTCATATCCTCCTTCCTCCGCCTTCGACCTAAGCTTTAAAAAGAAAAATTTAATTGCTTTTTTTGTGCACTAAAGCTACTAAAACAAAGTTTAAATGTACCTATGATACCTCATATCGCTTGGTATAACTAGAGTGGGAGCTGATCCGCTATTTTAGCTAATCAAAAATAGATATTCAAACTAAAACAAGATTTTTTTTAATATTCATATTTTTATCATTATATTCATTATTTTATCAAAACTATTATAAAAAATTAAATTTGTATCCTACTTGATTAAAACATATACCAGTGGTGAATAGGTTGACAAATTGGGTGAAAGAGAAGGGGGTTTGGGAAAAAAGACGGAGATGGTGTGCGTTAAAGTTTTCAAAACAAAGTTTAAATGATAGCTTGCGTCCCTTGGTACCTTTTTGCTAGCCACAACACCTGGGATATCTATTTTGCAAGTTTCATTACTTACGATATCTTTTCGGAAGTCACAACACGTAAAGAAACTACCCAGCCGGCAAATAACGTTGAAATAACGTTGAAATATCGTTGAAACCTAACGATGAATTAACGCTGGTTTAACGTTTAGAATGAAAATTTTTTTCAACGTTGATTTATCAACGTTAGGTTCAAACGTTTTATCAACGTTGATTCGACGCGAAAAAACGTTACAATAACGTTTAATTTACGTTGATTTAACGTTTAGAATGAAAGTTTTTTTCAACGTTGATTTATCAACGTTAAATCAACGTTAGATTCAAACGTTATATCAACGTTGATTCGACGCGAAAAAACGTTACAACAACGTTGAATTTACGTTGATACAACGTTTAAAACGATAGATTTTTTAACGTGCTATGTATGTCAAAATGTGCGTCAAAATATGATCACCATCAAAAGGTACTATGCATGTAGATTAGTGTTGTTGTACATTATCAAGGTGTATTATGGATATTAAATCTATTCATAGTCTATACTTAGACTATTTAGAACTTTTTTAGTTTAGTTTAGTTAAAATAGCTAGGTATGATTAAAGAAAGAGATAAAACTTGTTTTTTTCAAAAATACATATTCAAATATTACATATATTTACATGTAATTGAATAAAATCTACACAAATTTCTTCTCTTTTTTACCACCTTTTTGAAATAAAGACTAATATAGAAAGTCAAACAATGTTCCATTAACCGAGGATTCTTTTGGTTCATTGAATACAATAGAAGAAGCTGTAAAT